CAATGTTTCAATTGAAAATAACATTAAATATTTTCCATCTCCACTGGACTTATAAATTGTATAAAATTGCATCAATGTTTCAATTGAAAATAACTTTAAATATTTTCCCTCTCCACTGGACTTATAAATTGTATAAATTTGCGTCAATGTATCAATTGAAAATAACTTTAAATATTTTCCCTCTCCACTGGACTTATAAATTGTTGTATAAATTTGCGTCTAATGTTTCAATTGAAAATGACTTTAAATATTTTCCCTCTCCACTGGACTTATAAATTGTATAAATTTGCGTCAATGTTTCAATTGAAAATAACTTTAAATATTTTCCCTTTCCACTGGACGTATAAATTGTATAAATTTACATCAGTGTTTCAATTCAAAATGACTTTAAATATTTTCCTTTTCCACTGGATTTATAAATTGTATAAATTTGAGTTAATGTTTAAATTGAAAATAACTTTAAATATTTTCCCTCTCCACTGGCCTTTTAAATTGTATCAATTTGCGTCAATGTTTCAATTGAAATAACTTTAAATATTTTCCCTCTCCACTGGACTTATAAATTGTTGTATAAATTTGCGTCAATGTTTCAATTGAAAATGACTTTAAATATTTTCCCTCTCCACTGGACGTATAAATGGTTGTATAAATTTGCGTCAATGTTTCAATTGAAAATAACTTTAAATATTTTCCCTCTCCACTGGACTTATAAATTGTTGTATAAATTTGCGTCTAATGTTTCAATTGAAAATGACTTTAAAATATTTTCCCTTTCCACTGGACTTATGAATTGTATAAATTTGCGTCAATGTTTCAATTCAAAATGACTTTAAATATTTATCCTTTCCACTGGATTTATAAATTGTTGTATAAATTTGAGTCAATGTTTCAATTGAAAATAACTTTAAATATTTTCCCTCTCCACTGGATTTACAAATTTGCGTCAATGTTTCAATTGAAAATAACTTTCCCTTTCCACTAGACTAATATGCATCAATGTTTTAAGAGGGCGTATTATTCTTATTCTTTCAGAATGTGGTGGCAACTGGTGATTTGGCAATTGAAGCTTTCAATTTCAAATAAATATTCTTTGTTTATCGTATTGAAAATATTTTGAATAAATAAATATTCATTGTAATTTAAGTATTGGAGTATTTTAAATAAATAAATATTCATTGTATTCAGTTTAGTGTTGAGTATTTTCTTTCTCTAGCATTGTGGAAAAGCAGGATGGCAAAAAAAAAAAACGCCCTCTAATAGAAAAAGGCCCTAAATATGACTAAGTTATTTGGCCACAATAATCTGTCCGGTTCTGATAAAAATAGTGAAGAAAATCGCCCTAAATAGCCATTTTAATTTAAAGTTTTTTAGGGTGTCTTAACTGTCAATGGCAGGAAGCGTCCTCTAACATCCAAGTTTTTCAGAATAGTATAAAAACTGGCTATTAGAGGGCGCTACCACCTTATTAATTAAATTAATGACGAGTAAGAGACCACCGAAAAACGTTGAACTAAAATGGCTATAGAGGGCGGTTTTCAGCACCACACAGGACCCCTTTAAATAATTTAAGAGACCCTAGAAATTTTGGCTTTCTATTGGAGGGCACCCTTCAGCACCACTTTTAATAGAAATTGAGGGACATGGGAACAATTGGCTTTTTTCTATTCGAGGGCGCTTTTTTCATCTTACCTGCATCCATCAGTCTTCAAACTTGAACAGCAAAGAAACATCAAAACACTTGATTTTTTTAAATTTTCTTCATAACCAAAATCGCATAATTAAAATTATTAGGCATCAAGAATTCATTATATGGAAAGTTAAAATGCAAGTTATAGTAGTTTTCTGGTTCTCTTATTACTTCTGTACAATATAATCAATTTTTCAGAATGAAGCTATTGTCTTGATGCTGCAACAACTTGCCTGCATCCACCAGTTTTCAAACAGCAAAGAAAAGTCAACACACTACTTATATTTTTTATTATCTTATAGCCAAAAACACATAATGTAAATTATTAGGCAACAACAATTCATTATATAGAAAGTTAAAATGCTCTGCTAGTAATCATAGTAGTTTTCTGGTTCTCTTGTCTGATTGTAATTAGCCAGTTTATATCTTCTGTACAATATACTCAGTTTTTTCAGAAATAAGCAATTGTCTTGATGCTGCAACAAATAATACAACTGCTTTCACCAGGATTACAGCATCACAATATTCAGCAAGATGTTAGCAAAACTTCTGTATTGTATTAAGCATGACAAATTAAATTAACTAAATTAAATTGCCTATATTAGACAAAATTATTTATAATAGGTTTCTTTTCCTTGTCTTCCTCTGCAGCAGTACTATCCTGTCTTGCAACTGTGTTGCTGCATCTACCAAAAATAGATTCTAAAAAAAAAAAAATTAGACACAAACACGAATTAAACAAAATTAAAGGTAACAATAAAGTTAATAATAATTTCATAAAGCTTCAGTATATTTCACTTAATACTTACAGTATTATTAATTCTTTGATGTATCAAAAGTTACTTATCATCTTGCAGAGAGTTGTCTGTCTGTCTGCAAAAAATAAAAAAATAAAAAAATAAATAAATACAGATATTGTTTTTGTATTCTCAGTGACTTTCACAAATACTGATTTGGGAAAGCGCCAGCTCAGTGTTGTAGTGGTTAAGCACCAGGCTAGTTATCTGGTGTGTAAATACCATTTCCATGTACCAGTGAGTACTGTAATGCCATTCAATGCCGTTTTTTAAGTTAGGAATGTTTTAGTTCATCATACCAAATGCTCAGCATGTTCTATAATACTTGCAAATAAAGTCATTTGGGTAGGAATTGAACAACTGAGCTTATGCTATAGTGGCTTTTTGTTGAATCTGATTTAAGCAAAATAAATCTTGCAAGAGTCCCAATTTCCAAGTAGCATCAATAGGCCTACTGTGATGCTTTTCAATTCAACACCATCAAATACAATTCTCATAAACAGTATTGTATTGCCCTATCAATATGCACCCTTGTCAAGCAGGCATGATTTCCATATGTTTTGACACATTGACATTGACTGGATGCTCCTATACCTTCTTTTACTAGGATTATCACACTATTCAGCAAATGTTCTAACAAAACTTCAGTACACTTTTCACGACTTGCCGCATGGGTCATGTTCTGTTGCTTCATCTGCCAAAAAAAAAAAAAAAAAAGAAACAGTAAAGTTGAGACACGATAATTTTAAGCAACGAAGAAATTATATCATTATTCGGAAGATTCAATGGACTTGCTTTATTTTATTTATTTATTTTTTATGTGGTAGAAATAGGGTAGGTCCACCACTACGGTTAAGCATTATCTCAGACCTCCATGGCCGTTTTACATAGGACATGGCTGGCGCAACCGGGGACTGGGGGTCCCCAACTTTTTGGCAAAATATATATAATGTCTATAGAGATTTTTGTTGTAAATAAATAAAATATCCTTGTAGTATAAAAATAAGAAAATATTTATTAGTCTAACATGATTTTGCAAATTAATTTTCATCAGCGTGTACACGTAATATAAAATGCACAGGCCTGCCTAATTACATCAAAAATCCTTTTCGAAACAAGCCATGTTCATCCGCCTGAGTCTATTTCCACCATGCCACGCACACCTACAAAGAATCTGACTCGTATTGTTTGATAACGGAACTTAAAAGTCTAAAAAAAAAATACAAATTGCAATTGTTTTATTCTAACACATCACAAATATACCCCATAATCATAAAACAGTGGCGATTTTTTTTGCTAAAATACAGCTTGTCCACAATATCCGTCGTCAACTCATGTCAAGCGGTTCTCTGGAATTCACAATCTGCTACAAAGGTGGGTGCATCCAGGATATTAGGTGAAAATGGCCACAAGAATTACTAAGTTTTAATTACTGGAATAAATAATCTTTATCCAAAAAATATAAATAGAGATTATATATTTGCTTTTCCACATTAGCGTATACTAATATACACAGACACATACGAAAGGCATCAAAATTATATAAAAACATTGAAAAGGATATTGACTGGGAAAACATAAAAGGTTAAAAACACAAAAAGTACAAAAAGCAACTTTTTCCACCGTGGTCCCCAAATGAGAATACTAAAATACCAGAAAAATAATAATAATAGAACTATAAATATGGAAACAATGCAATAAATACATTTTAAATACTACAGAAAATTCAAATTTGAAACATCATCAAATTTAAATTATATTGTATTATGAAGTTCTGATATATAATGGTCCTTTATGAGTTCCTAACAGTACCATTATTAAAACACGGGTTTTTTTTTTCATCTTGCCAGTCAGTTGTCCCGGTAACACAAAACAAATTAGTTACCACCACACCATGTCATCGCTGTCATGGAGAACAGAAACTGGATGCAAGCCAACAGTACCTGTGGAAACTGGCATTCTCTTAGTAAATTGTACAAGCTGCGCTCATAATAGAAAGAAAATGCCCACATGTTGGCGTTACCTGACTACCCTCTTCACCTATGAAGCAGCAGTCATCTAATGATGCTACTTTCTTTTCAACCACGCAAGCACTTATGTCTGGTTTATATTTATCGACTTTGGGATCTTTGTTACTACTTTCTTCATGGGAAGTAGATTTCGGTTGACATGTCTTGGTATAAGATAAGCCGGCACATCTGTCTGTACTGCCTGCAGTTTCTGGCAACGTGTCCAACTCTGACTCCTATAACAATTATTGGATTAGACAATGTTAAAAATTGACAATTTCTTTCCAATGCCTACTGTACTTGATGACACAAATAACAAGTTACAGGAGTGAGTTAGCTTACCATTTGAGATGAGAATGGAGCTCTGACACTACTAGGGTTTACGTGTTTTAAAACTGGATTCCTAAAGCTGACCGAACATTTCTTCACAGGCTTCAACGTACTGCTTCGGAATTTCAGCCATAGCAGTTAAAAAAGGTTCTCGGCTGACTTTCCCAAAGTAAAAGTGCCTACTCACGCCCACATCCATCTGTAAACTGTTCTCGTAGCAAAATGTCATAACTTGTCTGCAATGCTAATTCTATCCATCTAGTCAAAACATCTTTCAAATTGCCGCAAATTAATGCCCACTTTCTCCAGCTTCAGGTCTTGTCGAAACCCATCATGTCAACTGAAAATGCTTCAATAGAGCAGTTTAAGTAATCTGTAATCATTTGCTTCGGCTGTAGATAACCTAAAATAAACTTAAAGAGATTTTCCTGTTAATAAAGAACTTAAATTTACTGCCAAATCACGTGGCATACATTTCATATCGTTTTAAATAAGAATCCAGATCATTCTTACCTTCATTAAATGCTGGTAATTTAGGTCGACTTGCCTTAACTTTGGATGATCCAGTTTCCTGAAGCTATCTGACAAAGGTCCGAACATACTCAAGAGACACAAAAGTTCACAACACAAATAATTATCAAAAATGTTTACCGATATATTTCTGAGAAAGTGCACCCACCAGCCTAGCGTTGGGGAATCAAGTGGGGCCGATGAAGATAACATTATCCTAGGGGGTCCATTTTTTTGCGATCAATGTTTTCTTTTTTTCTTTATTTTTTTTTGCTTTTCAAAAGGAAGGGAACAGTAAATCCGCCCCCTTAGTTCCATCATCATTAACATATTTTTTCAATTAACTCATTAACAAAGCCATAGCAGTTAACAAATAATAATGGTTAAGCATCAATGCTGTAACACTACATCAGTCGGCCCTCCCAAAACTTTTAACAAAATATTATGTTACCAAAATAAAATAATAAATTGTTCACGATTTCAACATTTTCCTTATGGCCTTTTAGCTCTATCACATTAGATTTAATCATCTACCTAATAAATGGTTTGAATATTTTAAATCCCTTTTTAGCTCAGGTAAAATAAATAATATGGGTAGCCCTTTCATGTACCAAGTAATAATGATGCAAGCACATTAAATGTTAGCTTTTAACCGAGGACGAAATAGATGACGCAATTCACATTTAAAAAATGGGAAGAGCGCTAGAATTGACGGCATTACCGGAGAAATGTTTAAATCTTGTACAACTTTATTTGTCCCAGTAATAACAAACATCTTTAATGCAATTTTCAGATCCGGGCTAGTCCCTGATGTGTGAAAAATGGGCATTATAGTTCGAATACACAAAAAAGGCCCACTTACAGATCCAAACAATTACCACGCGATTTCTTACAATATTCAGTAAACTTTTTACATCAATAATCGTCTTATGAATTGGACAAATGATTTAAGCCTTATTACTGAAATGCAAGCTGGCTTTTGTAAAACATATAGCACAACAGACCATTTATATACACTTAACACAGCGATATATAAATATCCAAGGAAAAAAACGTGGTAGATTGATCAGTATAAGAAAGTATAATACCTACTCCAAGTATTGAAATACACGTCATCGTGTTGGGATTCAATTCGACATTAATTATGTCATCATCAGGAAGTATTGACATACACGCCATCGTGTTGGGGTTCAATATTTCGACATTAATTATATCATTATCAGGAATTCCTGATGATGACATACATAATGTCGAAATATTGAACCCCAACACGATGGCGTGTATTTCAATACTTGGAGTAGGCCTATGTATTATACTTTCTTATCTGAGATTAATCAGTGGACCTTTCGGTTTTTGAACTGTGTGTTCGTAGATTTCCCAAAGGCCTACGATTTAATTAAGAGACAAGATCTGGTATAAATTAAATAAATGTGGTATTAATGGTAGATTTTTAGAAGTGCTAAAAACTATTATAATGGTATCCAATCGTGTGTAAAAACAGATCAGGGATTTACTGAATTTTTTAAATGCGACTATGGTCTAAGGCAAGGTTGTAACCTTTCACCGCAACTATTTTCATTTTATATAAATGACAGTTAACTACATTATTTTAAATAATATCCGTGGTATTCAAATTGTTGATGTTGAAATAAGCTGTCTAATGTATGCAGATGATATTGTACTATTGGCGGGTACGCCATTTGGTCTGCAGAAACTGTTAAATGCATTATGTGTATATTGCGAGATGTGGGACCTTGAGGTAAATCTCGACAAAACTAAAGCCATAGTTTTTCGAAATGGAGGTATCACTAAAAGAAACGAAAAATGGACATATAAAAACAGTCCCATTGAAACGGTTTCATATTATAATTACTTAGGATTAAAAGTTAGCTCAAGAGGTTCATGGTCTGTCGCAATAAACACTCTTTGTAACCAAGCCAAAAAAGGGCCTGTTTAAAATAAATAGTTACATCAATGGCATTAACAATATAGATGCAGACTTAAGAATGTTTATGTTTGATTCGATGGTTAAGCCTATACTTTTATATATGGATCTGAGGTGTGGGGGTTCGAAGAATCTAACAAATACGAAATAGTTCATACAAAATACTGCAAGAATGTTCTTGGTATATCTTACCAAACTAGTAACGACAGTTCTAGAATAGAATTAGGGCGTTACCCATTACGGATAAGTGTATACAAAAAAATGGTATCCTACGGGTTAAAGATTATTGTAATGAACCCAAATCGTTTGCCTTTTAAATGTTATACTATGTTAAAACGATTAGTTGAGTTAGAAGAAAAAACAAATTATGTGTCAAAGATTAGGCTATTGCTAAATATTCATGGATTTGGGCAGGTGTGCTCAACCAGGTTGTTGATAACAACCTGCTGTTTTTAAAAGCATTTGAACAACGATGTAAAGATGTTTATTTACAGGAGTGGAGAGCACAAACAGACTCACGTAAACATTGTTTTTATCTGCACTTCAAGCACTTTATTCAAATTGAAAATTATTTAAAATCAGTAACCATAAGATGCATTACAATGTTAAGAACTTCATCGCGTATGTTAAATGTGAATATAAGAGGCAATGGTGAGTCAGTACGACTATGTCGTATGTGTGATGTGTGATCAGCAAGAATCAGAAGATGAGTTCCACTTTTGTCTTGTCTGCCCTGCTTACAAGACGCATAGAGAATCTTTGTTGAGTAAATATTATGGGAGAAATCACACATTATACAAGTTTTATGATTTGTTAACTATTGAACATGCGCAGGTCAAACTGGGTAAATTTTTATATGTTGTATTTAAAAAAAGAAAGTCCTCATTAGAAGGTATTATATGGTAATATTATTTTCTATGGGCAGGAGCCTAAGGATTTAAATAAAGGCAAGCTGAAGTTATGCCTGGAAGAATGAAAATATATATATATATATATATATATATATATATAAATTTTAAAAGGCAAATGGGAAAGTGAAACAGTGCTCAATCCCACTGAAAAATCTATCTCTTATACACATCTAGATGTGTATAAGAGACAGATTATGCACTGCAAAACTATTTAAAATTAAAACGGAACAGTAGAGAAAATCCGATCAGAATGACAAAATAAACTAAGCATCCACTGGAAGGAATCCCAATATCTGCAGACGGATCCGTTTCGGCCTTCAAGGCCTCAGCAGTGCAGCTAGGGTACAGACCCAAACGAAACGTTCGACCAGCTTAGGTAGGGCCCAAACTAGTCCCACGACCACTAATGATTACAGAGCCAAACCAAGGCAATATATATACACAGCCCAGGTGTGAATGCAAATAGTGGAATACAAGCTATGTGGCTCGGTTCCAGTAGATAGAGAATATTTTGTCATTCTTATCGCGTCCTATTGATAGAACAAAAAGATGGGGGTGCAAGGGGAAAAGATCCCCGGGCCCAAGATCTTCGGGGCCCAAGCTTACTAGGGGTTGCAGGTAGCATTTTTTTCTCAATATTTTTTTTCAAAAATATTAATTACTATCGTGAGCCCTCAATAATGTCATGAGTCCTCTAATAATGGGCCTCTCCAGATTGACTGGGCCTCCTCAAAAAATTGTTGTGCCTTCGCCGATTTCTGTGCTGCGCTTCGCACATACCAACCCTTGCCTCTGTTACAGTTTCCCCTCTTGGCGGCCCTGGTGTTCTGTACCGCTTACCCAGGGCGGATCCAGGACTTTTCGTTAGAGCTCAAAATATATATTTTTAAAATTCCTATCAGGTAGAGATTTTAGGGACATTTTTTAAAATGCATTAAAATGTCGAATCTAAAGCAATAGTCGTTGCATTTGTGGTACATGGCATCAGGTTTTTATCAAAATAGTTAATTTAACGTATCATTATTCCGAGTTTTGGACGAATGGGTAATAAATAGTGTAAAGCTTTACTATTATTTTATCCTACAAAAATTTTCAAGAAATAAGGCACAATTACATGAAAATTACTACATGTATGCAAAAATTATTACCAGCAGGGGTTTGGAAATTCAAGCTTGTTCACAATCTTTCAACAAATTTTACAACATCAGAGTCGCAGACGTACAGACGAATATCCAGATCATTTCAAAGGTTCCTACTACTTCACAGCATAGGAACCAAAACACAAGAAACGGGGAAATTAATCAAAATGTATTAGTATAAGCTACCACCTCGAAATTTCAACCATAAATATTGAAAAAAAAAAACAACTTCATGAGAAAATTTACCTTCTATTTAGCAATTATCCACAGCCATAATTACACGGTTCACGTTTTTGTAGAAACGCTTATTAACAAAATAATAAGCCTGGAATTAAGTGTATTACAATGCATTATTATAGAGTATAGTCTATTTTAATAATATAATATATTCTAATCAAAGAAAACCACATAAAAATAAAAATAGAATCAGAGGTAATAAGAGAAGCAGAAAGACATGACGAAATTAAGGACTGAGGATAGGACTGAACTGAACAGATTAAAAAAAAAAAAAAAAAAAAAGTACAGGACTGAATACATTTTTTTTCCAAAGGCGTAGACTATATTATTCGCATATGAAGACGAATTAAATTCAGATACAAAAAATCATATATTTCATAATATCTTTATGTCTTTAATGGTAGTGCTTTAATTGCAACTTGTTTGATGAAGTTGTATCGTTTTAAGTACTTCACTAACCATGTTAATGTAGGCCTATGGTTTATAGATAAAATTGATAGACTTTATTATTTTTATTTATTTATTTTTAATACTCAGTGTAAAAATATTGGTCATTTAAATTCTTGGAGGCTTAGTCTGGTCCAGTGCCGGCATATCTATAATGGGGGATATGTTCCCCAAAAAATATATTCGGCCTCTCTCCCCCCCCACCCCCTTCGCCCTTATTGAAAAATGTTCGAAGCAAAAAAAATCACACTTAAAAATCTACCTGAAATTACCTAATATTGCAAGCAAGCGCCTGGTTATCTAATCATTAAACTTCACCTTCGCGGGCCACACCCTTCCAATTTTCACCTCATATTCTGGATCTGCTCCTGTCTAGGAGTCTCCTAGATAGGATCCACAATTTTTCGAACGGGAAGAGGGAAGAGAGACCAGGGGTAGCGCCAGCGGGGGGGCCGGGGGACCAGGCCACCCGTCGGGGAGAGCTCCCCCCCTCTCCGTCGGCTTCTTCCTGGCGCCACCTCTGAGGGAGACACTAGTTTCAGAATAGGTAGGTGCAGCAAAACACATACAGTGACTTGCATTGAAATTTTTAAAATTTAGTGGCGAAACAGGCCCCTTACTGGATCCGCCCCTGCTAGATACACCACTGGTATGGCCCTCAGATATTAGTAGATAATAAATATTCTATCTAATGTGGCCTAGGAAAGAAATGATTAAAAGCACTGCTTTATAATCACAACTATTCTTGTCGAAATTGCCTAGTCCTAGTTCATTTAGAACCTACCTTGCACTCACCACAAAGCAAGTAACTCATATTGTTTGGCGTTTGAAATATACATTCAAGTTCAAATATTTGATTATGGATATATACATCACGGAAATACACTATAATACAGCAAATTATGGAGTTTTCTGTAAAAAAATACATCATATCGATCATATCGACCATATCTGCCATTCTGAGTTCACGTGGTTCTTTTGGCATTTTTGGTCCACACATGTGGTACGTCCAGAATATTTAATGAAATGGCCGCAAGAATGCTGAAGCAACTACTATTCCTCTGAACATGAACAAGTCATGTTTTTGTCAATTTTAAGCGTACCTTAAAAATCTTTTCTAAAAAAAAACTCTTTTCTAAAAAAAAAAAAACTCAGCGTCCGACCGAGTGTACACCATGCTATGCACGTTACATGGAAACTGACTCAACTGAATTATTGGCTAACGGAACTTAAAATCACTAAATATTGCTAGTTACACGTTTCCTTTTAATACTTAAGCCTACCTTAGTAGTTTTGTTGATACGTACGAATATACTTTAGACCTATAATCATAAACAAAATATGGTGGGGTTTTTTATTGCTAAAATACACCTTGTCCACCATTTCCGTCGTCACGTCAATTCATGTCACGCGGTTCTCTGGAATTTCAAAATTCACGCCCTGCTGCACAGGTGGTAATTATTCAGGATAATAGGTGAAAATGGCCACAGGAACACTGAGGACTGAGGTTGAATTGGAACGTACAAGTATTTCTACATAAGATAATACTGTATCATCTTATGAATCAAAAAGTAGGCCTATAAATACAGATTGTAAACAGTGGGAAGTTTCCAAAAGTTGATAAAAGTAGGCCTATATACGAAAATTGTATTAAAAAACTTCAATAAAATATTAAAATGGTAAAATACCGGTAGGTAAAAGATGTATTACTGTAATTAAAAAAATAAGTAAAAGTCTCCTAAATTAAAACACTGTTTAATTAATATACTTTGATATTTTTAATACTATAAATTGAGTTCTTATGAGGAAACCCCTTCGGTACCAAATTTCCCGAGGATTAATATACCGATCCACTAATTAAACCAGAAAAACGGGTGGGGAGAAGAGGTATTAATAATTAACAACTATGTAATATGGTACCATTTCTTAGTAATCCAAACGCATCATTCATAGGTATGCAGTTTAATATTATTTTCGTTAGGCCTGTCATTATTCCGGGGCCATATCCCAGAATCATCGGTCCTTCACCATTTGGAAATCCCGGATGTAAGATAGACGGATTTAGACCGCAGATAGGCCTATGAGGGACAGTTACCGTATGATTTTGGGGGAGGGGGTAGGGGGAAGGTCCCCGACGAGAGCAAAGTCGACGTGGTCCTGTATCGATTAAAATGTTTCAAAAGTGGTTCAGGGGTTTCAATGGCTTATTTAATCGATTTGATATATAGATACTCTACTTACATGTAGAAAATAGGGGCCTACATAATTTTTTTCGCCCCCGACGAATTTTGGTTTTTTTTCTGTTTTGGGGAGGGGCCGGGGAAACTGGAGGAGGGGGAAAGAACTCAGAAGCATCGGTCCTTCACCAATTGGAAATCCCGGATGTAAGATAGACGGATTTAGACCGCAGATAGGCTTATGAGTGGTCAATTTTTTTTGGGTTTTTTTTTTTTGTTTTTTTGTTTTTTGTTATTGAAGTAAAACAAATATCGATTTTTTTAAATTATTGAGGAAGTGAGGGACAGGTACTGTAAGATTTTGTGGGGGAGGGGGAGGTCCCCGACGAGAGCAAAGTCGGTGTGGTCCTGTATCGATTAAAATGTTGTTCAGGGGTTTCAATGGCTTATTTAATTTATTTTATATATAGATACTCTACTAATATGTAGAAAATCCATACTTTTTTTTTATCTCCGACAAATTTTGGTTTTTCTTCTGTTTTGGGGAGGGCCGGGGAAACTGGAGGAGGGGGAAAGAAAATCCCCCAACCCCGAAGCGCCGTTATTGATTTTTAAAATTAAACTAGCTTCAAAATTCGGTTTTGGGTAAAAATGAGTAATATTTGACTAGTCAAATTTGGCATTAAAATCTAAGATTCAACGTGGCAACAGTCATTCCGTGTTAGCCAAGGCATAGTATTTCTCATAAATAAAATATAGATCATTAAATGTAGCCAAAAAAAGTCATCAAAAATTGTTCTTGGTACTTTGCGGGTCACAACATTAACATGATATGTCATCAAACACATCATTTAATATATAAATTAAATAGCTTTCGTATGATACCAAATATATTCAAATCGCATTTTGGGGTAAAAAATGTAACATTTCCCAATTTTGGTGGGAGATAACGACATACGAAATGGATGATGTCTGAATATGCGTTCAGTTTTTGAGAACGTATCAGATAGACAAAAGGTTGTTAGCTTTCTTTTCGTATTTATATAATAAAACACTTACAGTACTAAATTTAGCCAAGTCTTAAAAATATGTTTTTTCGTAAATTTTTTTTGCGTCAAAAAATTAACAAATTGTGTTATCATTCACATCATTCGATAAATAGTTTTAATAGCAAAAATATACAAATTGAATCTTCCAGTGACGATAAGGGCGTCGATCCGTGGTTGAAAGTGGGGGTGTGGGGAACGAAATGAAAAATAAAGCCTTGGGCCGTAGGACCAAGCCTTGGTTGGGAACCAGGGGGCGAAGCCCCCGAAGCTCTGGCGCGTATAGCCTTTTAATTGATTTTAAGCAATACAATTAACATTTATTTCCATACGAAATTTTCAAAATATCCAGTGGCGGATCCAGTAATTTGAAGTAGAGCTGGGCCCAGAGAGGGACTTTTACAGATTGAGAGTGTAGACTACCACCTCAGCCCCACCATGGTTGGGGTTGAGGTAAGAAAATTTTTGATTATGGCACCACTAGTTGGTCGGAAATGGCACTCTCAGACTGAATTTGAATATAGTGTTAACTTTTCTAAAATTTTAAGTTTCAAAAAAAAAAGAAAAAAAAGAATTAGGAATGATGGGGCGGCTGGGCCCCTTTGAATCTGCCACTGAAATACTCATCATAAAAAGTTTTTAAAATTATCTTTTTAGTCATCATTATGCCCGCCTATATATTTCGTGCAAACTAACATTCATAAAAATAATGATTTATTATCTGCTGATTAGCTTGTAACGTATTCAAAATTCGAACTATAAAATACAAATAAGATAAACTTAAAACAGTCATTAATTTAGTCTTTTGCATGTACAGTACTTTTAAAATCAATCAAGAGGTTTTTGCTTTTCACCTCTTTTTGAATTTCACTTTTGTGTAAGTAATATTGCGACTAAACTATTGTGAGTGGAAATAATACCGTCTAATTTACGATGAAACAGGACTAGGGAGATAAGGAGCACACAAAACAGTAGTTAACATTTTGATTTCACAAACATAAAGGTGATTTCTTAATTTATTATTATTAGTGGTGGCTCCAGGAAAGCAAATTAGAGGGGGAAGGGGGAGGGGGATAGGGAGGGACTTGCATGTTGGGAAAGTAGATCACCTCAGCCCCACGATGGTTGGGGCTGAGAAAAAAAAATATGATTATGACACCTCTAGATTGCCGGAAATGGCACTCTCAGACCTAAATTCTAATTATAATTTTCCTTTGTTTTTTCCATTTTTTTAAAATAAATTTGAAAAATTTAGGGTCGGCTCGGCCTCACTTGAACGAATCCGCCACTGATTATTATGACGTCATTGTGAGATTTCGTCAACGTAACACTGGAGCTTGTAAACTTTTGGTAGGCCTATCACTTAATCGGAATATATAGACATATCCGTGTCAAAGGCTGTATAGTTATTGTTGACGACCTATGATTTTTGAAATTAAGAAAAACAGTAATCCTATGTATGAAGGTAATATTAAACACTAGTATATACGTACGGGTCATAATAATACAAAAGGAATAATCGTTTATAGTAGAAATTGTGCACTTTTGAGTTTGTAAAAATATTAGCCTAATAAGTATACATGCTTCCAATTTTAAAAAGATTCAGTACATTGTTTCACAATAAATTTAGCCTCTGATAACCGTTGCACCCACAAAACCGATCTAGTGGTTTTTGAGATGGTTACGAAATGTATAAACAATTTCGTTTTTACTCGGTTTTGGTCCGGAAAATACGTACCGCACTTAGAAAAGTGAACAGGCAAAATCTTTCCATACACTTTTAAAAGTGGGGTTTTAATTATAGAAGATTGGAGAAAAGTGGGGGGGGGGGGGGGACAATCGATATGATGTCCCCCCACCTCCTTTGAAAAGTGGGGGGGGGGGGGAACGCGTCCCCCTGTCCCCCACCGATCGACGCCCATGAGTGACGATGTAGCTTTAAAATACTATTTTTTGGTAAAACAGGCCTACGTACAATTTGTAATTTTTTTATCAAATTGCCACTTAAATTGAAAATTTTGCGTGCCAACAGCCCATTCCTTGTGAGCTGAGAGCTGGTGATGAGGATTCACGTTGTTGCCAGCTTGTAACAAATGACGCCCACGAAAACATAAACTATATTTGAGCAATTTTAATTCGATGGGACCCGACTATAAATAGGCCCAGCAGTAAGTCAAGTGAGTGAACACCACGGCATTCGTTCAGTAGGCCTATACTCTTAGTCAATATGAGAATTACATATAAATGTGAGGACATTATATAATCAGCTGTTGTCGTACGTTTTCCTCTGTACAATAAATATGCTACACTGGGGATTATATAAACGTGAGGACATTAATCATTGTACTCAAGTGAAATGAAATAATGCCCTCAGTTCAGTCCTCTATTGTCAATATAGGCTAGTACCCTGGGGATTTTATATAAACGTGAGGACATAATCATCAGTAGGCAATTGAAAGGAAATAATGGCCTCGGTTCCCCTATACGCAAAAATATACAAATTATGATAAACTGGACCGGGATTATAATAAAAGTGTGGTCATTAAGGAAATCACTGTCCCTGTTAGTCCTACAGTCATTATGGTACATTGAGGATCTCAATAGGCAGGCTAAATAAGTAGCCTACGATCAACTTTTTGCATGTACTACAGGATCTTTAGCCATGGAGGTGGATAATGGGAGATAAAGGACCGTCCCCTCCCATTTGATTTTTTTTTTTTGAATTAGTAGACTGCTAGACGATCTTAGGTCCTCTGGCATCTCAAAAGAAGTAAGCTTAGAATGGAAAGTGTATGTTTACCAGAGACATGAGAAGCAGACACACAAGACGGTTGGTCACCATTATTTTTTTTCACAGAAAACGGAGGGGAGGAGGGGTAATAGCCACCCTATTCACCCCTCTAGATCCGCCACTGCTTTAAGCGGCAGTTATCAACCTGCAGAGAACTCTTGTGATCTTTAGGTGTCATGGAATACGAAACAGCTGGACAATGGTGGGGATAGCTCATGGTTTCTACCAAAATTGGCCAATTTTTAACCTGATGTAGGAGGTGTCATGGAATACGAAACTGGAAAAAGGCGGGGTAAAAAAAATCGTCAAAAAAGTATGAGCTATAATAGCTCATGGTTTTTACCAAAATTGGCCAATTTTTAACCAAGGCCGTTTTTCCCAGAATAGATTAGGCCACATGAGCCTAACTGAG